TTTGAAAAAATTCCTCCGAATGTCCAACCTAAACTTTCCTGGTGCAACTTAAGGCTGGGAAGGTGTTTGGGTTATAGAGCCCCAGGAATGCGGACGTTTAGGGAAAGGGCTGTGCCTAGGCTGAGCTGTAGGGTTTGGCAGTGGCTGGGTAGCTTGCAAGCAGCTGCCTGGCTTTCTGGGATGTTAAATTTTGTGTTGAATTGCGTTTAAAATTTATTTAAAACCATGAATATATGGTTATTACAACAGGCGTTCAGCCAAAGAACCAAAATTGTTTTACTCCATGTTTTATTTCTGTCATGTCTTTCATGTCTTTTTCTCGGCATTTAATTCCAGACTCACTTTGTTTTTTGTTTTTTGTTTTTTTTTTATTTTTAGCTAATAAATTAAACTTCCATGTACTAAATATTTGAACCTTTTGGGCTCTTTATTAGGCAAATGTCTTACTTTGAGTGTACAGCATTTTTGGTCTACTACGAAGGATCTTTGTCTGGAGATAGATGTTTAAAGTTCTGCTTTGGACTTGATGATAATGCATTTATAAACAGTATTGTTTTCAGTTAAACAAAGGACATGAGGTGAGCAGAGATATTTTAATCTCCTCTGCTTCTTTTTTAAAGGCAGCTGTGTTATAAAGACAGCATCACCATACACAGGTTCAGAAGTTCTTGAAATAATTTCTCTCTGCTTGTCTTTTTTTTTTTTTCAATCAGGGTCTATTAAAGCCCATAGATAGACTGTTCCATAGCCTGGACATACTAGTTGTAAATATTACATAATGTCTTTGTATCTTCTTTCATAAGTCTGTCTTTATTGGCTGGATCCCTTTTTAAACAGGTTAGTTGAAGAAATCTGTATTTTTTCCTTATTTCAGGCTGTAGAGGAGCACAAGTTGAAGAAATATGGAGTTTGGAGCCAGAGAACTTTGAAAAATTGAAGTAAGGCACATGTTTTTTATTCACATTTGTCTGAAATCCCTGCAGGAAGGTGTACCAAACTCACGTGTATTTTTGATGGACTTTTTTTTTGTTTGGGGCATTTTGTGTTTGTGTTTTTTCATTCAGTTTCTACAGAAGTTCAATAGGATTTTGATTTAATGGCAGTTAAATTGCTTTTTATTAATGCTTTGGTCGTTAATCTAGCTTAATCAGGTTTTGAAAGAGATGCTGATAGTAGCTGGAATGTGGAAGTAGTTCTCTAATGATTTTGCCATTATCTTGCCTTATAGCTTTTAACAAATTCTTGGGTGAATTTCTGTTCCTTGCTTTATCTCCCTTCTTTTTCACATCCCATGAATGTTGCCTCTGTTGTCTGAAATTATTTTCAGGTACTTAGATTCCTTTGTAACTCGTTTTTCCTGCAAAACTACTTCATATGTATGTGAAGGCAAATGGGCTTTTTATAATTGATAATGGCTGGTGGCATGTGGAACAATTTTGCCCTCATTAAGCAACATTAATTCTGTTAACATTTTGTCTTATGGTCTTATCCATGTTTATGTACAGGATTTTAAGAGGAAAATATCATTTAATCCAGACCATACACTTGTATCTTGGGCAAATACCCCATATTTGTAGGATTAATCTTTAAAAAGGTGAAGGAATCAGTACAGAGGATGTACTTCTAGAATTTTTGATGGAAGATATTTGACAAGCAACACCTGAATGGCAGAAATGTTGCCAGTATATACCTAAGAGTCATATATATATGCTGTCTGCACCATCAGAACATTTACCTATTCATTAAGTGACAGCTTTATGTGCCCTGGGAGGTGTGTGTCTTTCTAGTCCTGAAGGATGGCTAGCTTCCATCCTCCCTTCCCCTTTACGCCTGCAGTATTCAACACAATGTATAAACACTGGGGGTGAAAGAATATAGGAGCGTCTTTGTTTTTTAAACAGCAGGTCCACGGAGAGAATTTGAAAAAATGCATTTCAGACTTCTGGTCAGAGCTTAGGAAAAGTCCCTTATGCAGTACAGGTATATGTTTGTCTTTTGTAGAGAAAACCTTTTGTGGCCTCTTTGTGGTGATGACTTTAGATTTAAGTTGATGAATAAGTTTTTGTCTTACTGTATCTGTAGATTTTGTAAGACCTATTTCCTTTACTGATAAATTTTTGTGTTCTGGGAATACTAAATACAGGCCAACATGTAATAAAAGCTGTTTACTATTCAAGACATGCAATCTGAAAGGCAAGACACAATTTTTACTAGAAGACAAAACTGTGTTTCTCTTGTTGTTAGAGATAAAGCATGAAGTTTCAGGAGAGCTCCTCTTTGAATATTTCATGTGTGTCTAGAATGATTACCAAAACTTTAGTTCCTGCTTTTGTGTATGACTGACAAATGCTTTGACAGCTCTTTATCACTAACCAATTCAAATGAGAGTTCTGCAACTATGAAAGTTTCAGTGATCAGGAAAACTGGTCCTGATTTTAGAAAATTACTGGCTAAATGCTAATTCAGATTGGAATTGATTAGCACTTACAGAAAGAAGCCTGAATTGTCTTCTGCCTAATTAAAAGAGCACATCTGAAAATTTCAGTGCAAGTTCCTGACATTTAGAAAGAATTAACAGAATTACCATACCAGCATACAGATAGGCTACACTACAGATAATTTTAATATTTTTCATCAGTACTGGTGACCTCTTCCCTAAAAATTTTGTTTTTCAGGCCAGTACATGGGCTGATTTTTCTCTTCAAGTGGCAGCCTGGAGAGGAGCCAGCGGGTTCTGTTGTCCAGGATTCCAGACTGGATACGATATTTTTTGCTAAGCAGGTATGAGAAATTCAGTAATTGTTTAAAATATATCATGAAATGTAGCTTTCAATACCAAAACATAAATTATTTTTTTGTTAATATGACAACAGAAATTAATATTTTGCAAGGTAGAAAGCTTCAACAAATTCTGAGAGTAGGAGCTGTGTGTTGACAAAGCAAATCAGTTTGATCTCTCAATTCAGACAAAAACAGCAGCTGTGGAAGAGTAAAGCTCTTATTAATTTGTCAGCCCTCACCCATAAAGTAACTCAGTCTTCTGTGCGGTATATAGCAACTTGGTAAATGTTCTCAGCACTGTGACCAAATCACTTCTTTTGAAACCACTTTCAACAACTTGTTGGAAGAAATTTATTTTGGTCCTGTTTTCATTTCTTGTTTTTCTCAAACGCTTTGAAGCTGGGAGTATGTGAAGGATAATAATTTCCTTTAAGGGTTTGCAGACCAATTTGGTATTCAATTGGTAAGTATTCAATTCCAAAAGGTTATTTAAATTAGAAATAACAGGAAATACTTGTTTTGCTGACGTAATCCATTGTGTTTTATTAAATACAGAGTAATACTGAAATTTTGTCTTAGAGTTAACAGACTGCTGTGTGTGTTGTTTACAAGCAAGAAAAGCAAGAGAATGTGACCAGAATGAAAGTAGGAGTATTTAATATGGGTGTTAATTACAAAACATTGATATCAAAGGGCAAATTATTAGGTTTTCTGTAACATTATTAGGTTTTCTGTTATGTAGTCTAGTTGTTGGGGTTTTTAGGGTGGAGGTTTTGGGGGACTTTTTTTTTTGTTGTTGGATTTTTCTTGTTTTATATCCCACCAAAAATGCAGAAATGTTTTGAAAGTAAACTTCAGGGTATGAAAAAATCTTCACACACTTCCAGGTAAAAGTATAGAAATATAGAAAACAATGCAAATGGCCATCCTGGCAACTCTGTACCTGCACTTCTGTTTTGTTTCTTTTATAATTGCCTCCCTGTTTCATGCTATCATGGCTCACCTTTTTTAATGCTGATTCTCTTCATTCTTCCCCTGCTGCAGTTCTTGAGTCCTGCCAAACAAATGATAAAGTGATCAGCAGCAGTTTGCTGTTTTTATAGTTTGATAACTCTTATAAACACTGATTTAGATTGTGATTTCTACCTAACCAAACATCCTGTTAGTAGCCATGGGCTGTAGCTAAAGTACTGCCATGAGGGAAATAACTCAGAGAAAATCCTTGACGTAATTTTCAGAAGGTAGTTGCATGGTGGGAGGAAATTACTCTAATTGGGATCTAGAGAGGGATTTTTTTGGAGGATGTTGTCTTTTTATATTAAAGTGAAGGTAAATTTTCCCTCACTCAAGGGATTTTGTCTTGTTTCCTGTTAGTAGCTGAGGTTGTCCTAGAATTGTTGTTCTTGTGAAAAGTTCCAAAGCATTTGTCTGCTTGCTCCACTTCTTTTGCATTTTCCACCCCCCCTTCCCTTTTCTGAAGCTTGACACTGTGTTCAAAGGCAATAGCTAAGAGAAGCTTTATTGAGATTTAAGATGAGATTGCAGAATGTGCATCCATCACAAAATTTGGATAATGTTAGATTTGATAACCAGCCCCACAAAATTAAAGGCTAACAGTGAAAAGTCTTCTTTATAGTTTTCTTTGAAATACTCATATTTTAATGTGTTCTTAAACTGAAACCTCCTTTCTAATTGTCCCTTTCCTTCACCTGCTGCCTTTAAAGAGAGTGTGCTGGAGTGTCTCTTAATTTTAGCATGGATAGCAGTTTCTAGAAATGTTGACTCTTACAATAGTACTGCATGGTTATTCCACCTGATGGCATGGAATAGAGGTTTCAAAAGTCATTTGCAAAAAGTTTAGAATTAGTATATTTTTAATTTTTTGACATGTCAGTCCAGTGCAGTGGCTTTGCAAAATTAAAACATTCCTTGTAGACATATATATGCTTGTGTTTCATATGAGTTCAGTTTTGCCTGGACTGAGCTATTGTGACTGAACAACTAGAAATAGGTACAGAGAAATTATTATTAAAAATCAACAGAAAGAATCTGCTTTGGGTATTTTGGAGGAATTTATTTAATACCAGTTCATTTCTGGTGACTTTCACACTGAAGAAGGTTAGCCCAAGTTAGAGATCCAACTTGACGAGCAATGTTTTGAGGACTTGCAGTGTTTTCTTCAGCGAGTGTCTGATCTTACGATTTGCTTCTGATGAGAGCCAGGTGCAGTGAACTTCTGTGAGCCAGTGAAGCTCACCCCCATGCAGTTTTCTGTGCCTATTACCTGGGCTGGTCTCTGCTGTACCATGAGATGTGTCTGTTCAGTGAGTCTGTACAGGACAAGACGGGTGACAGGTAAGTGAGAGAACAGGGGGTTCTTCATGGCAGTGCTGAAGTTACTGCATTTCTCAAAACCACTGTTTGAATCTGTCACCCTGAAAACTAAAGTCTTCTGATAATGTTTTCATAGTTCTAGTTACTTTCCCATGAAAGTTCTATAAACATAGGTTGTTTGTCACATTCCTTCTAAGAAACGTCTTTTGATGGACGTTTCACATGACCAGTGTGCTTGGGAAGGTGGTAACTGTTGTAACACTGAGAAGTGTTCATGTGAATCATTTTATTGAATCATGTGTCCTTTAACAACACGAATCCTTCTGAGTCACCCAGGAGCACAAAGCAAGGTGAGCATGAGTATTGAATATTTGTATTATGAAAGACCAAGTTCTCCCAGCCATTCTGCAACTGGGTTCATGTTTATTTTTCATTTCCTCTGTAAGTTTTAAGCCAAATTTTATGCTGGCTTTGAGGGTCTTTCCAGAAGGCCTTTTTCTCCATTACTAAACTGATGGAGTAAAATTACACTGTGTTCATTTGTAGGCTGGAATCCCAGAACAAATAGATTGGTTAGGGCAATTTTTATGACATTTAAGATTATTGATCTGTATCTTTAACACTCTCATGACACTGGAGCCTGAAAAATCTCAGCAAGTCTTTGCCTCTCTTTCTTTTCTCACACATTTTTTTCTTTTAAATGTTCCAATCTAAAGACATTTGGTACAATTGGTTTTACTGTAGACATGTTTTCAAATGTCTTCCTGAATCCTGTGTGAGCAAGACAAAGGTTACTGTTAATTTATAACAAGAGTTGAGTAGATGAAATAAATTTTGTTTCTGTTCAATTTTTTAATGTGTTCAGTCTTAAAAATTGTTTCATTGTGGGGAGCTTTAGTTAGAGGTAAAAATCTACAGCACTGAAACTGTCCAGTAAAGTACCTTTAAAATTGCATTAGGAAGTACCATTTTGGTAAGAAGCTTATGCATGCTTACATTTTCCTCATTTCCACTTCCATAGTGATGATGTAGTTGAATGCCAAAAGGCAACTAGATCTTGTTCTAAGTTAAATCACAGCTATGTTGGGGGGTTGAATTTTGAGTTCTATCTGCTATGCATGCATATTAAAGGAGTTTTTTTAATGGTCACTTTTATGTGCACTCATGTTAAATTTGGCCTCCCTGTTATGCCTAGGTATGGTTTGGTCCTCTAGTTGAGGCCACAGAACTCTGGATGATCTTACATACCCTTTGAGCTAGGATACCTAGGCACAATGAGGTGAGTTAAGGATATAATTTCAGCCTTAACTCTGAATTTCCTGGTTTCTGTGTTGCTTCAGTGGGGCGTGCTGTTTTCACACACAGTGGATACATGATTACATCTGCTCAATGTATTCAGCTCCCTGCCACACTCTGGAGGAGCTGCATTCTCTGCCAAGCACTGCGAAAGTGTCTTTGGACAAAAAAGAATGACATGTTGCACACCTGAAACAACTTATTTTGAGTTAATACATTTTTCAGCTTTTAGTATGGAACTGTTGGTATCCTGCCTTTCTTAGGTGCCATGTGTTTATTTTATTTTGCATTGTCATGACAGAATATTAACGTCATTAATTGTGAATACCTTCAGAAGGAGTAGCTTATAAATTATACTGTATTAATTATACTAATTGATAAGAAAACAGTCTCTGGTTATGTTCATGGCACTAGGGGAAGCATATGTATTTTTTTTTACATTTACAGTACTTAACTGATTTCGAGCTCAAAATTTTTGACTCTTTGAGATTTGGTAGCATTAAGATAGACCAGATATCTGTGTTAAAGCTGAGTTTGGTGTAACATAACTTACAAGAAGTACAACTTCAAGACATAAAACAAATCAGAAAGAGACTTTCAGTAACTGAATATAGCTGTAGAAAGATTATATCTTTACTCTGACAAAATTAAAATGGAAACAAAAGTGTATCGGTTTTCTAAACAAGAATAAATTGCAGAACTTTGTGCTAATGCTGAATTTTTCAGTTGAGCTCTGTAAAACGAACTATTCTGTACTGTTGGGATGTTTAGTAAGTGGAGCCCAGGAATTTGCTGGTTTTACTACCAATTGGAGCACAGGCTTGTCCCTAGCTTTTTTGAAAAGCAAAGTGTATAATCCATCAGGTAGAAGATGTGAGTCAAGAATTTCAAGTGCTTCTGCCTAAAGGTGATCCAGAAGGTCAAATTGGATCCCTAGAGAAAGGTGCATGCTTAGGAAGTAGTGCATCTTACTTAGAGAGTAGCCTAATCAATTGGTTCCGTGGTTTGTTATAAGCTGAGCTTCACTTGGGGGTAGGTCAGTCTTCTCTTGATACATTTCTTTGTGTGTATGTATGTTACAATTTTCTTTAAAATATTGTTAAATACACCTTGGACTTTTGCCTACAAAATCTTTTAACTATGACTGCTTTAAGTTGGAGTCTTGTGTATTGATCATTATAATACCTCACCAAGACATCCTGGACAGAAATATCCAGGCAAATGTTGGTTACTTCTGGACAAATACAGAAAATCCTCTTAATCTTCAAGTCCAAATAAAAATGCTTTGAGAACAACCTGTATTTATTATCACATTACCTAAATGCAAAAAATGTTTTCTGCTAATGCTGAGGCACCCTAATTAAGGGATACACTGGAAATTAGAGATACATATCCTGAAGGATTCTCTAGGTTGTGTGTGGAGCAGTGCTGGATGGGCTGTGTGCAGTGATGGCATTGTGTCTGTGTGACAAATCTGGCACTTGCCCACATTTGGTCCTGCAATCACATCCTCCCTCTGCACTCTTCGCCCTGCCTGTGAGCTACCACTAGCTAGATATTCCCTTGTTCCATCTTGGTAGTTCTCCTGTGTCATCTACATTCAGGAGCACACTGGATTTTTATGCACATCACCTGCATTTCCTTCTAGTCCTCTGCTATAGGACTGTTGTTGCTGCCTTTTCCTTACCTCCTGCCTCTCACTTGACTGAAGTTCTAGAAGGTATTTCTGTAATCTATTTCCATTTCAACAGCTGGAGGCTGTTGCTTTCAGATGTGCATCTTTTCCATATTGTTTTCTAGCAGACTTTCTTTACCTTGGCCCCTATATACTTATCAGACTTGTCTCATTCTGTAGTTGGAATACAAAATATGCTTAAAGGCCAATATTTGATGAGCCCATTAATTCTTTGGCAAGTCTAATTTTTTCCTCTGATTTAATTTTCTGTTTCAAACTTCTGTATCCTGCTATTCAGTAGTTTCTGTGTTGATCTTGCCTCTAGGCACAAAATCTCAGTAAATTTCCCTTTCTTGTTTTCAAGCCATTATTGTCTGTAAAGAGAGCAACTCTTGATTGTTCCATCTTGATTTTTCAGCAAAATTAGTCAACATTTAGTCCTGTCCCTCCTATAATGCCCTTTATTAATTATAATTTACAAATACAATTTGCTGTAATGACCCTGCTTTCATTTTAACAGCTCTGTTCTAACAGTGTGTCAGCAGAGGTGTCTGTACCTTCTGCTTCTCTATCAGCTTAATTACACTGCATCGGCTTCACCCACTGATCTGCTTGAGATTTCCCTGCTTTTATCCTAGGACTACTTTACAACTGTCTCTGATAACATATTTTAGTTGTATCTCAGAGAGTCATTAGTTCTTAGGGGTTTTTTTTCTATATTACAGTATAATTCAAAGTATGCTATTCTACTAGTCTGGGGGTTTGAGTTTTTCTGCTGCTGGTTTGTTATTTTGCTGCCCTTGATGGATTTTCCTTGTATGTCCTTTATTTTGCATCTGTGTGTATTCTAGCCCTTAGCTTGAATACCTGCAGTTGGTTTAATTTGAGTTTTGGCTGCTGTAATCTGTTCTGCATGTGTAGTTGACTCCCTTGATTACCATTTAGATCAACTAGATTGTATTTTTCTTAAATTAAGAAGTGTTTTATCATTTATCATCTGCATACAGATATAATCTGAACTGAGAACAGCCTGAAGTACAGAAAATAAATTTATGATGTGGCTTTTAGTATTAACAAACTAGGTTTTCCTTTGTTAGGACTAGCCTTGATTGTAAAACAGTTTGCATGTGTTTTCTCTTTTTTTTTTTTCTCCTTTCTTCATGGAAGTCGTTTCACATTCATGGACCTGGACTGATTCTCATTTTTTTATACAAAATTCACATCCTCTCTGGAAGTTTTAAGTAGCATTTTCAATTGCAAAATAGTCTCAAAGACTAATGATACATTACTCTTTCCTAACCTATAGCTCTCTGAGGAAAAAAAATGCTAATATAAAATCTTGCATTATGGCCTCATACTACTTGATGACAGTGCATTTAGATAAATCTCAAATTATGTTTAATAATCCTTGTAGCCTCTTTCTTTAAACACAGTGTTTTAGTTTGGTTATTAGTAAACTATATTAAAGACATGGCTTTAATATGAAGGGGGTTGTTTATGTTTTTTAAAAATGGAATATTTAACAAACTAGTCACTGTCAAACTAGTAAACATTAACTAGAAAAGGATAGGTATATTGGACAAGTGTATTATTCAGCTAACCATCATTTAAACGATCTCTACATCTTTGAACACTTCTAGTTTTATTAGTTTATCCCTAGAATACTTGAAAATTTTTGTCCAATAAAACATTTTAATAAAAATTTTAGGTTCCATAATCTGCTTTATTGCTTCAAATTAAATTTTTTTCACCTCCTATTCCTAATAGGAAATCTGATTATTCAAAGGACTTTTCTGTGGAGTGTTGACTTTTTTTTAAGGGCATAAATAAAATAACACCATTTGGACAGCTTGCTTTGAATATTATTGTGTGTTTTTCCACAGCGATCCAAGGATTTCCACTTTTCTTCTATGCCTTACATTAATCACTTTAGAGAGATGGTGAGGCTGTGGAATGACAGTTTCTGAGGACAGCTGTGAAATACTGGTTTTATCAGTGAATTGTATACGACAACCATGCAGAGCTGATTTTATGACAGCAAGGGCTTTTCTGTAGCTACCCAGGGAGCAAATCCAGTCTGTATTAGGGTGTAGCTTTTATATGAATCAACATAGAAAGTGTGTGTTTATAAAAACAAACAGTTTGGAGTGAACTTTTATCGCCAGTGCTGACCAAATTCTCCATGCTTTTCTCTAGGTCATAAATAATGCCTGTGCAACTCAAGCCATAGTAAGTGTGCTGTTAAACTGTGCTCATCAAGACATTCATCTAGGAGAGACCTTGTCAGAGTTTAAAGAATTTTCCCAAAGCTTTGATGCTGCAGTAAGTGACCACTGTTTTCTGCATTTTGAGTGTCATAGCGTTACAGCTGTGGTGGTTTACAAGTGGTTTTTTACTTCCTTTCAGATGAAAGGTTTGGCACTGAGCAACTCAGAAGTGATTCGGCAAGTTCACAACAGTTTTGCCAGGTAACATATGTTTTAAATCCGGCCAAAATTTGAGCAAATTCTTTTTAATCTAGGGGGTTTTAAATTTTCTTTGCAGACAACAGATGTTTGAGTTTGATGCAAAGTCTTCAGCAAAGGAAGAAGATGCCTTTCACTTTGTAAGCTATGTTCCTGTTAATGGGAGGCTATATGAGCTAGATGGCTTAAGGGAAGGACCAATTGATTTAGGTAACATTTTACATTTTTGCTGAACATCCTTTATATTGACAATGTCCTTTTGCAACAAATTTGTCATATGTTATAGACTCAAAGCAAATGTTTTATTAAACTAAAGAATATCCTGAAAGTTTTCTGAATGTGCTGTAGGCTTGTACTTCCTTGCAGTCATTTGTATTGTTTTAGCTTTGTTGGTTTAAAAATACAATTTTCTCCCTGCTTCCTCCATGTCTCTGATGCTTTCTCTTTTCATTTAGTAATCAAATTATCAGGTCCTGCAATCCCTTCCCTTGATAGTTTTGTTGCAAGAGAGAAGTTTACATAAAGGGAGAATGTATACAGCTTACTCCAAGTATTTTTTTCCCATTATGTGGCTTGTGTTTGCACAGTGCCCTTTTTCTTCTTAAGATAGCAAGTGTTTTCCTAATGGTTTAAAAGAAAATAGCTTTATTCTCTGTAAGATGGGCTTCTGTTTTGTAGTCTTTCTTGACATGTGTGCCCTGTTGAGTCTTGAAAAAGCTCTGCACTGCCTATCATGTATCTGTACTTTAGAGTCTGATACATTGTCAACAACGTTTTCCACACTCCATTCCCAGAGTGTTTTCCTAGATTTCTTGACAATTTTATTTAGGCTGAGCAACAGCTTGCTGCTTAATCTTGTCTTTAGTCTGTCTAGATATACTGTACAGTCTGCCTTCCTAACAGTAACATCATTTGTATGGTCAGAAGATCATGAGTCTCTAAATTTACTTTAAGGTCTTGAAATTGCAAAAGAGGCATTTTCAACTTAGGAAGACACCTGTAGGTATTGTGTCATATATCTTGAAATCAAGTTCTCTATCATATATCCTTTTATGTTTTTTCTTTCTGCCTGACTTTTTAACATTATAGTTCATCTACATAGATAAAATCAAGAGTTAGTGTTAAACAGCTGTACCTGTCCATAGTGTACCTCTCCAGTTTCCTTTGCTCTACTTCTGTGTTGTCATACCAACTAATTTCCCTTGTGTCATAAAAATCTTATATAACATACTTCCCCCCCACCCTTTTATTTCTTGTTACTGGCAAAACAAATGTTAAGTGCTTATGCTCTTAAAGTTTAGCTTTGTTCCATTGCTTTGGCCACTGTGTTATCTTTTAATCTATTTAATTCTGCTAATATTTATAAAATGTCTTCCACCTCCTGATAAACCACCTGAGTAATTTCAGACTGCAGTAGCTAGGGAAAAACTGCTTATATACTCCGAAGTTGCTGTGTAAGCCTGAATTATACGAGTTGACTTTGCAATAAATTTTGCAATTATATTGAATATAATCTTTGGTTAAATTTTGCAAAGATGATGAATTTTTTTCCTGTTTTTTCCCTAGGTGCATGCCGTCAGGATGACTGGATAAGTGCAGTGCGGCCTGTCATAGAGAAGCGCATACAAAAGTAAATGGCTGTGATGCCTTTAAAATATAGCACCTGACCTATGATTAAAAATTCTGTAGTCTTAATTTCCTTCAGTTAAAGGATTTCCTCCGAATTTCTAAGTAATGACACTTATGCATCACTTTTTTATGCATATCACTGTGTGACTCGAGAACCTGTTGCCCAGCATGAGGCAAATGTGATGATAGATAAATCTCAGATACACTGTGCTCCTGCATAATTAATCCAAGTAGGTGTCTGTGTAGTGAAGAGAGATCCTACGAGTGCTCTGGAAAAGAAGATTGTTATCTCTGTTACTCAGCTGTGGATCTTTGTGAGTGAAAGCTAAGAGTGTTATGACCATGAATAACGTTTGCCTATGCACTTAAAAATACTAGATAGTACATACAGCTGTTATTTAGAGATAAGTTTTTCTTAGGAATGTGGCTTTTCTTAGTAATTTAAGCTAGAAAAGCATACTATGGAACTTTCCTTCTTCTTAATTCTGATTCCAAACTGCAGGCCCAAATTTGTTAGAAATAAACTTGATTTTATGCCATTTTTAGAAAACAATTCTAAGTTTTTCCCTGAGGACCTTTTTTTTTTTGTAAGCAAAACAGGACTACCAAGTTGCTTTTGGAGACTGTAACCTCCAAAGGGCCTGCTTGTCTAAGTGTTGAATGTACAAAGTCTAAGTGTTGAATGTACTGCTTACACTGTGTGGAGAAGTCTCCAATATTTTCTGACAAGTAATAGTAATGAGAAAGTAATAACTCTTGTGTGAAGCATCTTCTGTAAGTGAAGCATCTTCTCTAAGTTCTGTTGTCATGTTTTCTTTTTTCTTTTGGAGAATTTCAGTATTTGTTCTGTGACCACAGACAGGAATAGTAAATTCTGGGGAAAGAAGGTTATCAGGAGTTATATATTGCATAGAATTAATTTGTGGTCTGATTTTATTTTATAAAAAGATTGGATCTGTAGCACAACTTAATTTAATAGATCCATTTTAAATTTTGTTTCCATGAACTGCACTCCTTAAAATGAAATCAAGGAGAGGGCTTTTCAGTTGTCATGATGGTAACTAACTTTGAAAATGTTTTGTCTTTGTTGCTTTTTTTTTCCTGTTCCTCATTTAGATACAGTGAAGGTGAAATAAGGTTTAACTTGATGGCTATTGTGTCTGACAGGAAGATGATATATGAGCAAAGGATTGCAGAGCTACAGCAGCAACTGGCAGAGGTAGGCCATGGAATTGAAATTGCTAAAGTAGTCCTCTGATAGTTGTGTGTTGACTTCAGTATTCACTTCCCTTCCTTGCTCCAAATGGTGAAGCATTAAAAAAGCAGGGAGTGATTGCTGGAGATCTGTCCACACAGTGTGGATGCACTCAGTGCTGCAGCTCTGAGCTGAGCACTCAGCACAGTGTTGACCATGTCATTTTGACTTTCTGCCTTGACTCATTTGCTGTGGTGCTGGAACTGTTCCTTTCCCAATACCTGCTTGTAACTAACTGCAGAAATTCCCGGAATGTTCCTGTAACGGTAGATGAAACTGAATCTTTCTGTGATAGAAATACCCTTGAGACAAAATTTGCTTTAAAAAAAAAAAAAATTAAAAATGGAGTAACATCATCCATTTAAATTTTTGTTTTGTGGAAGGAGGAGCCTATGGATACAGACCAAAGTAGTAATATGTTAAGTTCTTTACAATCAGAAGTTGCAAAATACCAGATGTTAATTGAAGAAGAGAACCAAAAATTAAAAAGATATAAGGTATGTAGCCTTTGCTTTTCTGATTAAATTATTGAAACAGTTGTAATAAAAAGCTAGCATTTATTTATATATATATATAAATTATATATATATAAATTATATATTATATATATATAATGTATGTGTATGTATGTATATAAAATGTATATATATAATATATATAATGTGTGTGTATGTATATATATGGGAGCTTTGCAATTAATCTGAAGGAACTGGATGGGGACTAGAAGATAGTTCAGCTATATAATAATTCTGTTAATGCTTTTAACTTATTTTTAGATTGAAAATATTAGAAGAAAACATAACTACCTGCCTTTCATCATGGAATTGTTAAAGACTCTAGCAGAGCACCAGCAGTTAATACCATTAGTAGAAAAAGTGAGTATTTCCTAGCTGATAGTATATTACTATAATTCTTCATACCTCCTCTTTTAAATAAACAAGCCCATGTCATTTATTCTTCCAAGATCTTTGGCCAGGGAAGGCTCCCCACGGTCCTGTGGCTGCTGTAGTAGGTGGTGACTGCGTAGTGGCAGCCGTGGCACAGTGCTGGGAATTCAATCCCTCCTTTCTCATTGCTCTCGTGCTCATTTACTACCTTTCTAAGGTATCTAGCCATTAATATTGATTTACTGCTAAGGTTTGTATTAAAACTTTAAGCATGTCTGCCACTTTGGCAAGGTTATTAAACTGGTCAAGTACTTGAATTGTACTCAGCTCTGTGCTGGTGTGCACTTAAGCTTGAATGCCAGAGGCAGGATCCCTGATTTTGTAGTCACTGAAAAAGGGATGTCTGAATTAGTATAACGAAAGAAGAGCTGTATATTATTTAATGAGTACATTCTTTAGCTGAATTTATTTAGGGAGGTAAATTTGCAGGCTCACAGTTTATAAGAAATAAAGCAACCAAGCTGCTTTCACAAGCAAATGACCAGTGAACTGGTGGTAACAAATCTTAATTCTAAATCACTGAATTTGATGCTATTCTCTTCAATAATATGTGATAATAAGCAGCAGCCTGATTCAGAACTAATGTTTTGACAGAAAGTTGTTTGCCTATATTGCTTGATTTGTCCCCTCTTCTTGCCCAATCTGTTTCTTAAGTAAATTCATAAGGAAGAAAGTGCCAGTTCCCTATCAATTTGAACTATTTATGATTGATACAAGTTATGAGAATCTGTCTGCAAATATTTTGGCAGGAACTTTTGTGGGGAGTTTTTTCACTTACTTGAAAGATCTAAACCACTAAGATCTTGTTGTTTCAGAGTTCAGTTTTGATAATCTGTGTATCTGAATGTGGTATTTTCTTGTGACATAAAATATTTCCATTAGGAAGAGTTTTTTCTATGTTAAATGAAATTGGTATGGAGGTATGAAAAATGAAAGTTTAAATTATGATTTTAAGATAGTGTTTTTCTCCTACTGAAGTTATGTAATCTCAGCTTCTCTTGCATTATTTATTTAAACCTGTATTTATTCTTAAAAGGCTTTATATACTAACCTAACAATATAGTAGTAGGATGCTTCTGAAGGGTCCAAATTTACATTTAAATTTTTCTTTTTCCAGCATATTTTTAATATTCAGAAATAAAATGGGTAGTAATTCAAAGCTCCAGAATGATCTTCATCTTTTCAAAGCTTGATGCTATCTCCCCTTGTTTCCTAGGCAAAAGAAAAACAGAATGCCAAGAAAGCTCAGGAGGCCAAATGAAGATGACTTTGCAAAACACATACTTGCTTCTCTTACTATTTTCATGACAACAAATAAAACTTTTCATAAACTTCAATTTTTGTCCAGTGCACGTTTGCCAATTGTAATGGTTTGTCTTGTACTGTTTGCATGGGTCTGACTCTTCCTTTCCCTATCTTGTGCATATATTACTGCTGAGCAATGTTTATATTCTCCTGGTCACATTCAGTATTTAACAGTCTGTCTGATTGCTGAAAGCTTGGGAAGTGGACCCAGAAATGAGCAAGGAAAATGTCCCCATTTTGTCCCACTTGAACATGATAATGATCCAAATGCCAGAGGTTTAAGTATAAGCGTGAGCTTTCTTTGCTCATCCCTACTAACAATCCTTTCCAGTTGTTCAGTGACATAGCTTGTGTCTGTGTTTTTATGAAGTATGTGTCTAATTTTTTTACAAAATGGAAAAGTATGAATTTAGCTGTAGAAACATTTGCAAAGACCAATGTATAATCTCAAAAGAACTGCATTGCTTTAGTAGAAAAGATAATAAATATTCCCATTTTTATTTTGGCAAACTTTTTTCTGTGGTATTTTATTACAGGATAAGATGATTAGGATATGGAGGTCAACAGCCTTGTGACTTGAGTATATGCATTCTAAATTTGAGGTAGAAAGAAGGCACACTATTGTTTTGGGGAGTTAATATTCTTGGATAAAAGGTATTCCTCTTGAGGTATGTTCAATTTAAGTCTTGAAAGCTGTGCTTTTTATTTGACTTTGAGAAGTAATATTTTTATTTGACTTTGAGAAGTAATATAAGGGAAAAGGTGTATCAAAGACTATTGTTGATGACTATTGCTCTAGAAGATGTTTGAGCTGTGTCCCATGCACCAAAGGAAATACCCAGGGAACAGAGTTCATTGGGTGTCCTGACACAGTAAATGCTGCCTGAATATAAGCTGTGAGTAGATTGTTTTGGTATGTATAGCTGTTGCAGCTGGGTCTGTCCAACCCAGATAGATGTCCCGGGGAGTTCCAGGCAGTTTCCAGGGACAACCCTTAGGAGCATGGCCTATGGTTTCAAGTGATCAGCTCTTTTAGAAGTGATTTCTGCTCTTGCAGTGATCAGCTCAGATCAGCCTAGACAGCTCCGTTCATGGGTTACCCCAGCAGTGTGTGGCATTCCGCAGGGTCCTTTATTGGAGGCTTCAGCAAAGTGGGCCAGTGACAATCTGCCCCTGAACAGGGCAAAAGCCGAGGCTTATATTGGGAAGGGGACCAATGGTCTGAGGCTGGGGTAAAATGACCACTAGTTCCCAGGGAGATAACATGGGGTCCTGAAGCAGGAAGGGGTTCACAGCTTAGTCACCATGACTAGGTGGTTTTGTCTTAGAGGGCAGAGCTCCAGGGAGGAGACCTGTCGGAGGATTGGGCTCCCTCCACAGATAGTAACAGGCTATTGCAGCAATACACACTGAATTACTCACTGTCAGTGTACATGTATTTGTTAAGAAATCTTCCAGTTTCTTCCTAAAAGACTCAGATAAGAAACAGAAAAGAAAAAGAGCTTTGATTTTTTTTTTTTCAGACATTTGAAACTGTAAATAGTAAAATATGTTTGTTTCTCTTATTTTACCTGTACTTCATTGGACTGTGAACTCCTTTGGTCTTGTAGGCTAAATTTTTTGAAATCCTGATACGAAACATTGTTATCTGTTGGTGCTTTGTATATATTGCATATATATGTATATAAACAGCATAAAATTTTGACTGAACAAGTAAAACATAGACTGTATTCTTCACTGGTGGAAGGATCTCCATGAGTCATTGCTGTGGCTGAAAAGGTAAGATCTGTTTCAGAAAAACCTGAGATCCATATCTGTGTTTTGTACAGAACTGATGAGGTTAATGAGAACATAAACTCTGTGACAATTTTCAACTTTAGTAATTCACTGCAGCATTATTGCCCAATGAAACGGAAAGACTCTTACAGAGGAAGAGACATTTCTGCTTTTAAAATTACATTTGAAACTCCATTTCAACCTGTTGAAAACATTTGTCTGTCTTTTTAAGTGGTAGCCTGATGACTCCTGCTGCACTCTCTCGTACTTGGATAATTTTACAATTTGATATTAGATGTCAATTTACTGGCATACTTGGGCATGTACAAAAGGCAAAGGAATTTTGCTGAAGCAGAAAATTATTTTTGGAATTATCAACAAGTTTTACTAGCAATTTTTCAGAAATTAGAAAACTTATATTGCAAGCAATCTTTCTGGATTTGTGGAAAGACAAAAGAAGGATGTAAAGATCAAATTTTAACAAAATTTGTTAGTCTAATATGTAAGTGAAAAATATTTTGTTTGTTAAAAAGACTGTTTAATGCAGAAGTAGAACATTTCAAAACTACTGTTTTCTCATACTGTTTCTTCCTGATCAAACTGATGGCAATTTTTTTACTGTTTTTCCCAAATTTTTAGAACCATTTTTTCATAATGTGTGTCTTGGATATAAATGCAGTTATACGTATATTAGGACAGCGTCGCATGAATGCAGAGCTGGACATGAAGTTGATCCTGGCTAGGCTGGGATACAGTCAATTTTCTCCTTGGTAGCTGGAGCTGTGTTTTGTATGGAGCATGAGAATAATGTAGATAACACACAGATGTTTTCAGTGATGGCTAAGCAATGCTTAGTCTGAGTCCAGGAGTTTGCAGTTTCTCATGTGCTGCCAGCCAGGAGCTGCAGGGACACAAGCATTGGGAGGGGACACAGCCAGGACAGCTGACCCCAGTGGCCAAATGTATATTTCCTAGTACATGATGTCATGGCTAGTGTTTCAATTGGGGCAGAGGTGGCCCAGGGCCACTGCTCCAGGAGCCTGCTGGGCATTGGTCAGTGGGTGCTGAGCACCTGCATTCTGCAGCACATGAGCATTCTAATTCTACCATTATCCTTTTTTGACCCATTAACCTGTCTTTGTGTCTGTCAAACCACAGGTTTCCTCAGTTTTACTCTCCTACTGGTGGACAGTGAGCAATTCTTGAGTTGGCAGCTGCATTTAAACCATGACAAGGAATTAGCAAATTAAAGGTGCCCCAAAATGTAAAGAGATTTGGGGCTTAATCCATTTTAGACTTTTCGGAAATTCTATTTTGCTGTATGTAGAAAGGTGAAAGGTTTGTGTTCTGATTTATTTCAAAGACTCTGCATTCTGCTGGTATAAAATCAGTGTGGCATAGCTGTCAGAACTGAGATTCGGATATAATGAGAATAAACAATAAGTTCCATTTCTGTGAAGATTTCTGCCAATTCTGTTTCCTGATACCTAAAAGAGGTCAGTGCGTCTCCCATTTGCTAAGAGTTTGAAAACAGAGAATCCCAAATGTCAGTGTGATTTCTGGTTGCCAGTCCTTGCATAGTACATAAAAATTTCAGAATCCTACTGTGGCCTGATTTCTTCATTTGCAGAGGAACATTTTATACTTTGAACATGACTTATTAGTAAGACATTTTATGCAGCTGGAAATGTGATGATAAATTCAAGTCAGTGTTTTATGAGCAGTGAGTTATGAAATCTTTAAGCATAGTTGCATTTGTCATTGTTAAGGGAAGTTGTAAAAGTGTGTTACCTAGAATTTGTTAGAGGTTGGGGAAATATATCTGACAAACTATGTTAGCTCTGTTTAGTCATAATAGAGTATGGAACTGAGCTTTAAGAGGATTATTTCAAAATACTGAGTCTCCTATTTCTTTCAGGTTATACTGATTTGCCTGAAAACTAAAATCCTACCTCCTTAGCCAGTGATCCAGGACTTAAGGTGCGATGAATAACAATGCATGCCATGTTTGTCAGGCTTCAGGTGTGATCTTACAGCATGGGCTGAGCTGTTTGTGTCCTTCATCCCAACGTTGTATCAGTATATCAAAGCTTCATGTTAACACTTCAGTGGTTTCTGTGCTTAGACTTCATGAGTGTAAAGAAATGAAATAATTTTTACACATTCCTCAAGCTGCTCTTGTAATGACTGAAGTCAGACTAATCCACTGAAAAGATTTCAGTCTTGTTTTGAGAAAGCTGAAACTCTCCAATCTGTTACTCCATGACAGACAGTGCTTGCTTAGTCAGCCTGTTCAGCTTGAAGACAAGGAACTTTCAAGAAATAATTAGATTTGATGCTGAAATATGTCCTGTCAGCCTGGTTTTGAGTCTTGACTATGAAGTCCCCTCAAAATTTGTGGGTTTAAGTAGGATGACTAAACCACGTCAAGCTGACAGTGCTGTTATTCCTACACTAAAACACTAAAATTAATGTGTCCAACAATGAATATTTGATCAATTTTGTTTTCAACCTCAAAAGCATCCTAGGAAAGTGAAGTGTCAAGTTTATAGCCTGTATTTACTAAATACCTTTGTGAAAGAACATTGGTGTTATTGCAAAAGCATTATCACGATTTATTACTCTGAGTCTATCCAGTGTAAATCCTTACAGAGTGTTCAGAAAAGTTTGAATCATTTTAGCAATAAGTTTTGTTATTAATAGTGGAAATACATTACAGACAGTAGGCTTTGAAGAGGAGGAGAAAAAAATGTTAGGTAAAAAAAATGTCAAAATTACATCATTAAGGATATGTGGATTTGATCACTTTGTGCCTTGCTAGTGAAATTTCTTTCTCTGAAAATTTATGCATTTTTGAAATGGGAATTATGGGAGATTTTAAAATACAGATTTTTCTTTGAGGTACCTGAGCAAAACCAAAAGATAATACTATGCATTTCCTTCAGCTATGGAGGAAATAGTTATATGTTATAGTTCCTGCTCTTTGTTGTTGTTGTTGTTAACACCTGATAGAGATATTTAAATCAGTCATCTCTGTGCAGTGGATTCAGAATTCTGGTAGCATTCTTACTTTTCTGTGTTCATGAAATCTCATTAGTGGAAGTGGTGATAATGCAGAATAGTTCCTACAGAGATACAATTATAAGGTTAAGTGAACTTGATATGAAATTTCTCTGATATATGTAATGACTGCAAATGCTGCAAAAAACAACTTAGCCATGGAGTCTTTTTGTCTGATCTGGATAATCTCATCTCTCTCTATAAATTAGATCTAATAGAGTTTGTTATATTGAAGGCACTTAGCAAATGTTAAATATTTTGCCATGATAAGCAAGAATTTTCCATATTTTGTACAGCTTGCTTATGCTTTAGTTATACCAATGGGTGATTATATTAATATTTTACTTATTTTTTTAAGTATATACCTTGCTAAATGCTGACATTACATCTCTGACAATAACTAAGCAATCATTGCAATGTTACCAGTATCTGATATTTACAGTTCAGTGAATGAAAAATAAAGCATGCTTTATGCAAATAGTTGTGTTAATTTCTGCTAATGTTATCAATGGCAGTCTGGTACCTGGATAATTACTGTGTATCCCAATTCAAACAAGAAAACATGAAATAACTTGTCCTTATTTAGGGCAAATTTGGGAGAAAACCTCCAAATGGGGTCCCTCCAGGAAACAAATCCAAGTGGCCCCTCCCCCAACTGGTTCAGGAAAAAATATTTCCTTGGAGAAAAGTGAAAAAAACTGTTTATTAAACAGAAATTGAATAATATTCAAAAGTAAAACCTGTCACTGTTCAAAGAGATGGCAAATCCAGAAAAGTCCTTTTCATGGGTTGTAGCTCGGCTCATTCAGTCTCTTATCAGTCCCTCTGGCACTGGAATGTTCTGAGGCCCAGGCCCCAGTGGGTCACAGGTGTGAGTTCCTGGTGTTTTCCTGGGGTTTCAGTCCACAGCAGGTTTGAACAGATCCAAGGAAAAAAACAGTCCATGGAACTTCTCTGCCTCAGCTAGCTAAAAACTAACTAAAAGCAAAGGAGAGCTTTGTCCCGCTGTCTGTCTGTGCTGCAGACAACACAGTCTGGAACAGCATGAAGGGGAGTGCTGTTTCTGAACACAAACTGTGTGCTTCTTCTTTCCCCCCTGCTTTGCCCTCAGAGCCAGTCTTAAAGGTGCAGAACTTAATGTATAACATAAACAAGGTGGTTGGGGATACAAACATCATAAAGTNACAGTTGTCTGTGATGTTGTTTCTAGACTTCATCAGCTTCTGGGCAGCTGTGTGCTCTGGCGTGGCTTTGTCCATAGGGAAGGGGTGGGAGGTGGCCATGTGGAGAACAGCCCAGAGCCCAGCCACACCATTAGCTCTGCAGCAGGGCCAAGAGCTGCAGTTGTTTTGGGTTTGCCATGGGGTGCAGGAGGAGGCAGATGGACAACAGCTTTGGCAGACTGAATGTCCAGTCAAAGGCTTGGGTACTTGGTCTCAGCCTTGCTGAGAAAGGGCCCCGTGTATCCCTGACAGGAACTGATGTTTTTACTGAAGATTGAACAGGTCCTGATTTGGCTTTTTAGCTGTGCCAGAAATGATGGGATACTAAGGAAGGGTGTGCATCTGTCCCTGCTTCCTCCACCCCCCTTCATGGTCATGGCATGGGAGCCCTGGAGCAACTTAGGCAGGGAGAGACCTTGCATAGAGCCACAGATCAGAGAGCTCTGCTGAACTTCCTAAATGCCAGTGAGCCTGAGATGCTGGATGTGTGGGAGCTGGAGAGCTCTGAGCATCCTGAGAGCTCAGCAGCTTCTGGGCTCAAAGGCTGCTAGGGAACTGTAGGAGGGAAGGGCAGCAGCAGAAGAAATGAGGGGTTAAGAAAAGCAGGTTTTGCCATCCTGCAGAATGGCTTTGTGGGGACGTGGCTGGAAATCAGCAGTGGTTGTTAGGTGCTTTAGGGGCAGGGAGTTTATAGGGATCTAAACGCCTTCCCATACATCCAAAAGGCCAGTGGAGGCATCGTCACCTGAGAACATCTTGATGCCAAACCTGTGGATAATTCCCAGCTGGGAATGCAGTCACACTTGTACAGAAGTGAGCATGAGGGGAGAGGTGGTAAATGTGTGACATGATCTCTCCCCCACCACCTGCCTGTCCTAGGGCACCATTCTCCATCCTGGGCCAAGCTGCTCCATCAGTCTGACTGGTCATTTGCTGCCAGGTCCCAGTGAAGTCCATAGCTGAATGTCTTGGGGCATGTGTGGGGGCAAGACTGGATGCGTAAAGTGAGCACTGTGTTCTACTCTTTGCAGGCTTCCTTGCTGTATCCCACTGAAGGGGATAAGAAGAAGGAATCACTGGGACTGCCTTTGATCCCCCCGATACGCAGGGCAGTAAGTCCCGATGTTAGCAGTGCTGCAGGGTCTCTGCAAAGCTCTCTGCAGCTGGATGTGCAAGAGTCCCAGGAGATGAGGTAAGCCAAGGTGTCTGCTGCTCCAGTGTGCTGTTCACCTCGCTCTTCCCATCTCGTGAGGTTATTTTGCACAGTCAGCTCTCCCATGTATTTAGGCAAACCTCTGTCTATTCAGCATTTGGCCCTATCTGTGGTGATCCAGCCCAATGTCAAACCCAGCACCATATGGCCCAAGAGTAGAGGTGGTGGTGGGGAAGAGGAGGCAGGACTGAAAAGCTCCTCAAGACAGGTCCTCTTCTGGACCTGGCTGTTGATTCCCTCTGTAATGTTTGTGGTGTCATTTGGGAACTGTATTGCATGGGTCTGGATGCTGCAGATCTTTAAATACTGTCATCGTTCACTGTCAACTTCTGCAGCCACAAGAATATGACTGGACAAATACTGGCAAATGTTAAGGTGTCTGCAAATTCCAGTTCTGATTCTTTTACTTTTAAAGTCAGATGCTGTAGTTTATTTGCCAGCACATATATTTTGACAAGAAAAATACAGTGACAATCCCCAACACAGAACTGAGTGAGAGTTACAAAAACAAGGGTGATGAAAACTAGCTTTGGGAATCAATTACTTCATAGATGTAATTGTCAGATTCTGGAGAGCACTGTGTGTTGCCAACTATTTGAAAGAAAAGGGATCCCAAAGTAAACCTAAGGTGCAAATTCTCTGTGCATGGGACTCCACTGTGAAATGAGATCCCAGAGAAGTTTTGGGGTACAGCTGCATAACCCAATTGATGTTTAATATTTCAATCTGGGCTTAAGATCAAAAAGAGCAAGGTGCTGGAGAAGAGGTACAGGACTGTAGCTGATGGAAAGATATTGGCTTGGAGAAGTTGAGAAAATGTAGCTGTCAAACTTATCTGAGTGATAACAATATAGAAGGAGTCACAGAAGTATCACTCACATTGAAAGTCTTCTGTAGGGCTTTTAAAGTGCAGTCTGAATATCCTTCCATAACAGCTGTGTGTGAAAAAGCCTTTCTCTTCTTGAAAGAGTAAGGAGGTGTAACATCATTCTCAGGAGACAGCAGTGCTCTGACCACATGGAGCACAAGACTGTCACCAGTGTAAGGCACAAACAGGCAAAGTCAAGCTTTGCAGCAGTACAAAAGGAGCTGCCCTCCATAGAGACTCGTGTCTCAGCTCAGCAGCTCTTGCTGCTTCAGAGGGGCTGTAGGAGCCACTTGGCTCCAAAAGGAGAGACAGCAGAACTGGGGGGTTATGATGCAAGTTGAAGAATGACTGCTGTGTTTCAGCCGGAGCTTGGCCAGCTCTGTCTGACTCCAGCAACTGAGAGCTTAAGGACAATGAATCAGCTTTGCCTCTTGTTTAGTTTCTGTGTTGCATTTCCTCCTTCATCAGAGTGACCAAGCTGAGAAGGTTTGCCTCCTTTCATGCTACACGCATTCCCTCCTTTCTCTTTCTATCTCCTCATTTGTTCTTTTGTCTTCCATTTTCTCAAGGTCCACACCCAGCAGCAGAAGTGAAGATGACGACTCTGAAGAAGGAGGTAGGTACAGGACATGTCTGTCCTCAAATGACCATTGAAATTTTGACTCAGAGGTGACTTTTTGAAAGCTTGTTTGAAAATAATTATTTTAAAAATATTTTTAGTTCATTTCAATACCTTGATTGACTCTATGGGTTTGTCAGAATCCCAGTCACTGGGAATGTGCTGTGGTGGTGCAGTGAAAATTCCTCCAGTGTGAAGTGCTGAGTGGCTGGAGCTGGAGTGGTACCTTGGGGCCCTGGAAATGCAGTGCAGGAATAGGAAACATTCCTCTCCATCCAGCACTTGCCCTTTATCTCCCTGCAGCTTTTCCAGTGTCACAATTCATAAAGAAAAAGTAGGCATTGAGCATGAAATGGGAAATGTTTCCAGTCATTTGTCTGTTGCCTCAGATGACGCGTAGCGACCTGGTTCGTGAGTGACACGACAGCTAACTTACAGGCCTGTTGGGCTAATCACTCGCCAACACCCATGTGGTGGATGGTGAAGAGCGTTTATTTCCGTTGCGCATGGTTTTATATGACCAAGTTATGATTACGTCATCACCGTGTTATTATGGGTTATAGAACTTTGGAGAAAGAGGGGCCCTATCCTCCCGTACAACGCGAGATCTTCCGATCGGCTTTCCCTATCTAACCACATCATCTCCCCCCTCTCCATGATCAGAACTTTATAACTAAATATGTAATTAACAACAAACTGTGAACTTGTTAGTAATGAACATTAAACGTAACCGCGGTGTGTTAGTACGAACTATCATACAAACTCAGGTTAACTGTCTCTGTTCTAAATATAAAATGTCAATTTTATCTAAACGAGTTTTTATAAACTGGGCTAACTTACTAAGAAGACAAGGACCAAAAATAAGTGCAAACACAACAACTATAACTGGTCCTGCTAACATGGATATGAGGGTAACAATCCAGGGGGACTGGCTGAACATTGAAGTTAAACCAGTTCTGTTGAGAACATTGTCGGCTACGCTGTTCAAGTCTCTGCTGTAGCTCTGCTGAAACTCGGGATCGAACCAGGGACCTTTAGATTTTCAGTCTAACACTCTCCCAACTGAGCTATTTTGGCTGCCTAATGACACTGGGATGACACATCCAGTTCTCCCTGTTCAACGTGAGGCAGGCTTAGAAACAGGAAAACACAAAGGCACAGATGCTGTTGTGAAACTGCCGATGTCCATGTCGAGAACGAGAAGCGAGGTCGACGTGGAGGATTACAGTGGTAGACCTGTCAAGAGAAACTCTGAGGTTTCATTAGTTAAGTTATACAACACAGGCTTTATTGATTTCAATGGACACCACTTAGTAATATTATCTTTCTCTACTGTGGCATACCCCGACCTGTCAGGACCAATTTTCATCCTGATTCCCAATCTCCAAATTAATTTCTAATTTTTACTGGTGGGCCTTCTTTCAGTGCTTCGGTGGCCCAATGCTTTTGGGAAGGGGTCTGTGCTTGATCTCCTCTGGGAAATTGGTTCAACGCTAGCATGGCGGTGGCTAGCAAGCGTGGCTGTTCTGGCGGAGGGATGTTATTGGTAAACCCTCCTGCTTTGGCTAAGGTTTCTAACTTAGATTTCAAGGTTTGGTTTGCTGTCTCCAAGATGGCTTGACCCGTGCTGTTGTACGGAATGCCCTGCTTTAGGGTGATGTTCCACTTAGTAACGAACTCTTGAGTTGACTTGGCAATAAAGTTTGTACCGTTGTCTGTTTTGATTTGTTTTGGAATGCCAAGCCATGCCATAGCTGTTAGCCAGTGTTGGATCGTTGCCTTGGAATTTGTCTTCGCATGTTGGGTTGCAATGATCATGCCGCTGTATGTGTCTACTGTTACAGTGAGCCAAGCTCGAGACTTCAATATTTGGCAGAGGGTAAAGTCTGTTTGCCAGATCTTGGAGACCTTGAGGCCTCTAGGATTGATCCCACTGGACCACAAGGGCAGTTTCTGACAATGAGGACAAGTAGCCACTATGTGCCTGGCATCTGCTATTGAGATGTTGCATTTCTTGACCAGTGCCTTGGCTCCACCATGGAGTGACTCATGCAGTTGCAGTGCATCTTGTAAAGTCCAAAGCCCTTTCGCTGCAGCGTCGGCCTTGTCGTTGCCGATTTGAAAGAATCCCTTAACAGGGTTATGGCTGTTGATGTGTATCACGGATACGGTGCCTTGACGTGAGGAAAGTGCTTCTTCTATCATGGCAGCAGCAGAGGATGCTGAAATGCCTGGTCCAGACATCGCTTGACAGAGCCTGGCGACGAACATGGAGTCCGTTACAATATCTGCATGCCAGTACCACAGCAGAGGCTTCCAGAAGTTGGACAGACAGTGACTTGTCTCTCATTTTCATGCATTGCCATTGTTCTTGTGTCTGCCACACCACTGCTGCGGTAGAGGTGGCTGAGGATGCATTGGTGAAAATGGTTGGTCCAGGGAGGGGTCGGTCCATGACCTTCTGTGGGAAGTCAACATCTGCTATCGCTAGCAGCTGAGTCCATGGAGGTTTAGCGGCGTAGCAGAGCTCTCCTGCAAATCCAAAAGTGCCAAAGCAAGATGTTTTGAGATTGCTACCAGTGATGTCGAGATCTGGTTCCGGAAGGGCAAATATATTTTTACAGGCTCGGACCTAAGCAGCTCAGGGCAAGCCTTCTGCCCTTCATGGTGAGGCTTCCGAGACATTCCACTCCCGGGGTAAACGTGCGTGAGGCTCTTCCGAGAGTCACCCATTGTACCGGTTGCGCTTTATCGGGAGGTCCTTGTGCCAATGCTCCTACTCCCCCCTCTCTGGTAAAATGTACATATAGATCCAAAGATAGATTTGGGTTCCATCTAGGAAGGACTGTCATAGACAACTGTCGTTCGATGAAATCGAGTGAGCGCATGGCTTCTCCTGAGAGGGTCTTGGGTTCCCATGGATGCTTGCCTTGAAGTAGCGTGTACAGCGGAGACACGCCTTCTGGTGGGATGAGGATGACATTTCGCAACCATTGTAAGGATCCCACAAACTGTTGTACGTCGTGCAGCGTCTTGAGGTTGCGACGAATCTTGACTGTTGGGGGTGTCACATAGGAGCTGGTGGGTGATTTTTACTCCTAGGAACGTGACAGAAGGACCTTTCTTTATTTTTGCTTCTGCTAGTTCAAAGCCGTTGGTCTTTAGAACCTCAGAGATGGCTGACACAAGATCGTCCACACGGTCCGGCGTCGGCGCTGCAACAAGGATGTCATCCATATATTGGATGATAGTGGCTTCTGGGTTCGCAGATCGAATGGGCGCTAGGGCTGGGCTCACAATGATCTGGCATATGGTTGGAGAGTTGACCATTCCTCGAGGAAGGACTGTCCAGTGGAAGCGCAGATTGGGCTGTTGACCATTAGGGAACACGACAGAAAAGGCAAATTGCTCTTTGTCCTGGTCATGCAGGGGAATGGAAAAGAAGCAGTCTTTAATATTGAGTGCTGCACACGGTTGATCCGTCTGGACAAAAGAGTTAGCAGGTACAGCCGTGTCTGTACAGGACCCATAGGTTGAATTTTTCTATTGACAGCGCATAGGTCATGAAGCAGACGAAAGCCTTCACCGCTGCGTTTAGGTATTGCTAACACTGGTGTGTTCCATGGAGAGGTGGATGGTTCGATGTGTCCTCTTTCTAATTCTCACTGGAGTAATTGTAAAAGGATTGACATTCGAGGCTCAGGGATGGGCCACTGCTCGACCCACACTGGGTTGGACGATTTCCAAGTTAACTTGATCGGGGTTGGTGGGTATGTGGCAGTAGCCCTTAGGGTAAATTTGTCACCCTAATTCTTAATTGGGATAGAGCATCTCGTCCTAACAGAGGTGGGACGTTTGATAGGACATAGACACGAAGGCTTACAGTGTTTTCAGGCCCTTCCTCAGTATGCAGGGTTATTGATATGAATTCTACGCTCCTTTTGGCGACTGAGACTCCTCCGACTCTGCCTATGGTTAGGGCTTCTTCTACCTCCCAGCTTGGAGGCCAGTACATTTGTGGGATAACAGTTACATCGGCACCTGTGTCTACCAGGAAAGGGACACTGATTGTGAGGCGGTTCAGTGGGTTTTTCCAGGAGCCTGTCGTGGAGCGACGAATAAGCTGTGGGCAGATTCCCCATACTGCTGGGGGGCTGTTGCATTCCACTGCCAGGGCCACCCAAGGGTTCCTTTCCCCGCATTGCTCTGTTGTCCCGTGGGCATGGTTGATCCTTGTGCAATGGGCATTGGCTGCGCCACAAAGTTGGTTGCATCTCGTGGAGGCATCAGGTTCGGAAGGTGTTCTCCCCATTTGGGGTTCCCATAAGTGGGCCGCTGAATGTCCCAGCTGGGAGGCGGCCTCGTGCAGCCCATTGGTCCCCTCCCCTGCCCGTTTCCCTGCTTCCTAGACCTACATTCTTGGGCAACGTGTCCTTTTTTGCCACAGACCCAACACGGTCCTCTGGGTTTGCCTTGGGGTGATGGGCTCGAAGTTTGCTGGTTGCGGTTGTGTTGGCTCTGAACAGCCATGACCTCCGCTACAGCAGCATGGACTGAACCTAGGCGTTCCTCCCTTGCCACATCTTTAATCATCGCCGCGATACTTGAGTCAGGCGGCAGAGAACGCAAAATTTCTTTGGTGGCTAGATTACATTGCTGGCATAGACAGTCGGCGACGACTGGGCCTTTGGCCTCTGCCGGCTGGTTGGAAGCGTCTATGGCAGCTTGGAGCTGGTCTACAAACTGAGTAAAGCTTTTGCTCTCTTTCTGTCTCATTGTAGACCATGGGGCAGGTTTGGCAACTACCCTGCAGACCGTGCAAATGGCTTCTCGGGCCACACGAGTTGTGGCTGCAACCTCTGGGGCTCTCAAGTTCTGGGCTTGAGCTTGAGGTGTGACCATTGTTGGATCCCGGCCTGTCAGTTGTTGTAAGCTGGACCCCTGTAGTGGATGGTTGTCCCCTGCTATTTTTGCTAGCTCTTTTGCACAATTGTTCTCCCACTCTTGCCTAAATACTATCATTCCAGCGCCATCAAAAATCATTCTGCATGTTTGTTTGATATCAAAAGGCAACATGTTGTCGTTACCAAAGACACCATCAATTAAAGTAGAAACCATAGCAGAATTTATTCCTCTCTCAGAAATGGCTTTAACAATTGCTTGCACGTCCTTGGGGCTAACAGGGGAATAGGTCCTTTGACCATTCACTTCTCTCACGGGAAATGCTAGCACTGTGGGAGAAGCCCATTCGACACATGCCATTTGGATCTCCTTCCAGTCTGTGAGCAGCATGGATTCTTGTGGGAATGATGCCACAGATCTTTTAGGCTTAATGAAATTTATTTGCATGTTTTCAAAGTCTGAGTCTGAGTCAGAGCTTGAGCTAGATGCATGCTTAAGTGTGTGCCGCTCTGTCTCCCGTGCGTGCCGTCTGTGGCCCCAGTCCCCTTCCGAATCGGAGGTGGAAGCCGAGTGGTAGTGGGCTTCCGGGCTTCGATGCTTTTTGGTGGGACTCCGCCCTCTCCCTTTCCCAGGAGCGTTTTTCTCCCCTCCCTTTCTCCGCCTTCCTTCCAGCGGGTTCTTTTCCTTACAAGGAGATACTCTAGAGCACACCCTCTGATTGGACTGTGAGCTCTCCTCCCCTTCACCATCGGCGCTGTCCTCCCGCCTCCCCTTAGGCTTCCGATCGTGTATGTCCGCACGCGTTAGGCACCCTTCCCTCCGCCCCTTGCTCCTCTCCCCGGCGCCATTTCGCGGAGCGTATGGCGGAGGCCTTTCCCCGACATCTCCAGGGCCCGCGGTGTCGGGCGCGCCCCACGGCTCCGTGGCATCGGTACGCCCTGGCGGCAAATTATGTTCCGCAGCCAAACCCGCGCTAGGACCGGGCAGGCAGGATGGCGACTCAGGTTGCCCGTCATCATTGTATGGCCAGTTAGAATCGGTGGGGCAATCAATAAACATGGTCTGAGTGGCTGCTCCAACCCCCACCGGTGGTGTAACCTTTAAACAGCTTTAAGCTGCCTTCCAAGTTTCCTGCTCTTGGAGCGCTTTTCACAGCACTTGCATAACTCTTGCCCAGCTTTTTTAAGACACTTGCTGGACTTAAAGCACAACACATCATCCGTGAGGGCCTTAGTACACCTATCCCAGCAATCTGGGTGAAGTATATCTATGGGATGATCAATAGCACATAATTCTAGTAATCTGGCAACCGCGCATTCGAAGTCCCTTGATTCGCAGTCAATACCCCACTGCTTATGCAGCTGCGGAACTACCTTACTGAGCGACTGCATCCCGGCGGTACGGGAGCATCCTCCCTGCTGAAGTTGGTCCTGCCGCTCCAGCCGTCCCTCAGCGTCCGGCGAGACTCCCGAAATCCGGCCGCTCGTACCCGTGTGTTGGGGAGCGCTCCCGGGTTTCGGCACCACTATGTTGCCTCAGATGACGCGTAGCGACCCGGTTTGTGAGTGACACGACAGCTAACTTACAGGCCTGTTGGGCTAATCACACGCAAACACCCATGTGGTGGACAGTGAAGAGGGTTTATTTCTGGTGTGCATGGTTTTATATGACTGAGTTATGATTATATCATCACCGTGATATTATGGGTTATAGAACTTTGGAGAAAGAGGGGACCTATCTTCCCATACAATGCGAGATCTTCCGATCAGCTTTCCCTATCTAACCACATCATTTGTCTTACCCTTAAAGGAGAAAACCTTTCCTTGCGGCAGTTCCTGAGCTGAACCCTTTGAGATCTGAAGGAGATTCATGGACATTGCCTGGTTCTGCCCTGGGAGAAATAGGGAAACCTCCTCAGAGGGAAAGTCCTTGTGAAATTTCCAGTTAAGGAGAAGGAGGTTTATAAAATGGATGCAGCCTATGCAGGGTCTGAGTTTGTCATCCTCTGACAGCACAAGCCCAAAGCCACCTATGGCAGGTTCACCATGACAAATCTCTTCCCCGACTCTCTCTGCCTGGGTCAGTGCTGCAGGCTGAGGCTGCAGGAGGAGATGCCTTCTGCCTTGTCCCTCCCTGCCTGCCTTGCCTGATCCCTGACAGGCAGAATTGTGCCAGACAAAATGCAGTCTCTGGTGCATCTGTGTCAGCCAATGCTTTCAAGTTGAAAGCCTCAATGAAAGTCTGTTGTTGTTCCTTTGCCATCTCTGGGCATTTACTGTTAGGAGAGATGAGACTTGAAGACATAATTTTGCTGCTGCAGGAAAAGGGATCAGATGTCCTGGTCCCTTTGCTCAGGGTTTGTTCTGCCAAATCCTGGGTACAGCCCCTTTGGAAAGACTCCTTAATTGCTGATATGCAGCTGCAATGCTGAATGGAGATGGGGAGAATTACTGCTCAGTATTGCTCAGGTCACATTTTTGCTGGATTAATTCTGGCCTAGAAATTACCTATCTCATCAAAGGTTGTCAGATGCTCTTTTGTAAATGACGTCACCATTGTACTGGGATAAAGAAACACAGATTTTATCCGTGTCTTCTTTTTATGCTCTATACTCTGCTGTTTGCATTTAGGAAATTCTTAATGGTTTTTAACTGCCATGATCAGAAATGTTTTGTTGCAGGTGATCTTTGTGTTGGTATTTGGCAGGAAAGCAAGCAGGGAATAAACCCCAGGGGCAGGGAATCAGAGCAAATTGCAATGTTGGAAAATCATTTTGTTCCTTACATATTTGGGCTCCTTGAACACTGAGGACATGTGAAGGGGAGTACAAATGTTCATTCACTTCTAACATGGAGTGCCATTGTTCATGTGCCAGCACTTCCTTAGTTGTGAAGAGAAATAAAAGCAACCAACAAAACCCCACCCTGAACTGAGTGGGAGTTACAGAAACAAAAGGCATGAAAATGAGCTTTGGTAAGCAATGACTTCCTAGGTGTAGTTGTCAAATTCTGCACACCGCTTTGTCTGGCATCTCTTTGGAGGAAGGAAAGAGTTCCCAAAGTAGTGGATGGGCAATGAGCAACACATAAGCAAAGTAGTAGAAGCTGAGTCTCCTGGCTTGCCAGCTCCATACAGTTCAGAGGAATTCTAGTGATGCTAGTTGCATGAAAAATAACAACCAAATCGATCTTCGGAATAATTCAAAATCCCCCTGGATGGCTCATGCATTAGATGGATTGATTGTAAAGGTGGGAGTTCACCTAACTCACTTCTTCCCTTTTGAGCATGCCTCAGCCATGAGGTAAGGTGGGAGCTGGGCTGCTCTCTGGCAGGAAGAAGGGTCTTGTGCCAGCCTAGAGAGCCTGTGCTCATCCCCAGGGAACAGTTCTGCCCTGCATGTGCCCCCTGCAATGAGCTGTGCTGCTGCCAGTGCCCCGTGCAGCTGTAGGGCTGCTCAGCTGTGGGGCAGGGACAGGAGCAGGAGGCTGCATGTGCAGCTGAGCCATGGCTGCAAAGCCCAGGGCTCTGGGCTCCCTGCTGTCCCAGGCCAGCCCAGAGGCCAGGCTGTTCCTGTGGGAGCTCTGTGCAAGCGGGACAGGGCTTTTCCTCTGGAGTGCTTCAAGGGTCTTCATGCCTGGAAATGTCAACTTGTGCAGCTATTTAGAAGTTTTCAGGAAGTCTCTCCCAAGAAATATGGAGCTTCTGATGCTTTAGGTTTGCTTTGCTGCCCCAGTTACATTTTTTGTTTCTTCTTTGCAGGGCTGACTAGGTTCATTTTTTCCGAATCTTTCCGGCTATCTCCTTCTATGCTCCTTCCCTCCGAGCCGTTGCCTCCCATCCGGAAAACCTCTCAGTCTTCCAACAGAAGAGAAATGTGCAGCTTTGAGACGGAGAGTGGGAAAAATGGCAGTGGCTATGATGAAGACACCAGAGAAAGAGAGGAGCTGAAGTCAAAGGGAAAAAGTTGTAAGGTAAGGAGACCAAGCGATGTCCTGTGTGGGAGATTTTCAGTCGCTGTGCTGCCGGCAGAGCTTGGAGAGCTGTCCCTGTGAAGTGAGCCCAGGGAAGCAGCTGAGCCAAGGAAGAGCTCAGCTGGACACTGAGCTTCAGGATGTCTTTGCAATGGGTGTGTGGTGCAGACTTCACATTTTCAGTGTGTAACAATAGCAGGAGAGGACTTTGAAGGGTTTCTGGGTTCTCCCTCAGCACTTCCCTTTGCATTCCCAATCCTGGGCCAGGCTGTTCCATCAGTCTGATTTCTGTTCTCCTGCCAGGTTCCAGTAAAGAACATGGCTAAATTTTTTGAGGCATGAATGGGGACAAGACTGGATGCTTGATGTGAGCACTGTGTTCTACTCTTTGCAGGCTTCCTTGCTGTATCCCACTGAAGGGGATATGAAGAAGGAATCACTGGGACTGCCTTTGATCCCCCCAATACGCAGGGCAGTAAGTCCTGATGTTGGCAGTGCTGCAGGGTCTCTGCAAAGCTCTCTGCAGCTGGATGTGCAAGAGTCCCAGGAGATGAGGTAAGCCAAGGTGTCTGCTGCTCCAGTGTGCTGTTCACCTCTCTGTGTATTCAGCATTTGGCCCTATCTGTGGTGATCCAGCCCAATGTCAAACCTACCACCATATGGCCCAAGAGCAGAGGTGGTGGTGGGGAAGAGGAGGCAGGACTGAAAAGCTCCTCAAGACAGGTCCTCTTCTGGACCTGGCTTTTGATTCCTTCTGTAGAGTTTGCAGTGTCATTTGGGAACTGTATTGCATGGGTCTGGATGCTGCAGATCTTTGAATACTGTGATCCTTGACTGTCAGATTCTGCAGCCACATTAACGTGTTTGGCCAAATATTGGCAATTGTTAAGGTGTCTGCAAATTCCAGTGCTCATACTTTTATAGTTAGGCGCCATAGTTCACGTGCCAACAAATAATAATTTTTTTTAAAAAAAAATATACTGACAATCACCAACACAGAACTGAGTGGGAGTTACAGAAAAAAGGGCGATGAAAACTAGCTTTGGGAAGCAATTACTTCATAGATGTAATTGTCAAATTCTGGAGAGCACTGTGTGTTGCCAACTGTTGGAAAGAAAAGGAATCCCAGAGTAAACCTAAGGTGCAAATTCTCTGTGCTGGGCCCGCACTGTGAAATGAGATCCCAGAGGTGTTATGGGGTATAGATGTATAATCCAATTGATGTTAAATATTTCAGTGAGTGCTTAAGATCAACGAAGGAAAGTTGCTAGAGCAGAGTAATAGGACTATACCTGATGTAAAGATATTGGCTTGGATATTTGTGAGAAAATGTAGCTGTCAAGCTTATCTGAGTGATAACAATAAAGAAGGAGCCACAGAAGTATCACTCACATTGAAAATCTTCTGTAGGGTCTTGAAAAAGCAAGAAGGTGTAATATCATTCTCAGGAGAGCAGTGCTCTGACCACATGGAGCACGAGTCTGTCACCAGTGTAAGGCACAAACAGGCAAAGTCAAGCTTTGCAGCAGTACAAAAGGAGCTGCCCTCCATAGAGACTCGTGTCTCAGCTCAGCAGCTCTTGCTGCTTCAGAGAGGCTGTAGGAGCCACTTGGCTCCAAAAGGAGAGACAGCAGAACTGGGGGGTTATGATGCAAGTTGAAGAATGACTGCTGTGTTTCAGCCGGAGCTTGGCCAGCTCTGTCTGACTCCAGCAACTGAGAGCTTAAGGACAATGAATCAGCTTTGCATCTTGTTTAGTTTCTGTGTTGCATTTCCTCCTTCATCAGAGTGACCATGCTAAGAAGGTTTGCCTCCTTTCATGCTACATGCATTCCCTCCATTCTCTTTCTATCTCCTCATCTGTTCTTTTGTCCTCCATTTTCTCAAGGTCCACACCCAGCAGCAGAAGTGAAGATGATGACTCTGAAGAAGGAGGTAGGTACAGGACATGTCTGTCCTCAAATGACATTAAGAATTCTGACACAGAAGTGATATTTTGAATAGTTGGACAAAAATAATTATTTTCAAAAATTCTTTCAATTGATTTCTATTCCTTGATGGGCTCAGTGGACTCCTGAAGAGCCCAGTCACTGGGAGTGTGCTGTGGTGGTGCAGTGAAAATTCCTCCAGTGTGAAGTGTTGAGTTGCAGGAGCTGGAGTGGTACCTTGGGGCCCTGGAAATGCAGCACAGGAAAAGGAAGCATTCCTCTCCATCCAGCACTTGCCATTTATCTCCCTGCAGCCTTTCCAGTGTCACAGTTAGTAGAGAAAATCAGGCATTGAGCATGAAATGGGAAATGTTCCCAGTTCTTCTTCCTGCCTTTGAAGGAGAAAACCTTTCCTTGGGGCACTTTCTGAGCTGAACCCTTTGGGATGTAAAGGGGATGCTTGGACATTGTCTGGTTCTGCACTGGGAGAAATAGGGAAACCTCCTCTGGAGGGGAAATCCTCTGAGGGAATGTCCTTGTGAAATTTCCAATTAAGGAGCAGGAGGTTTGTATACACAATCCCTGTGTTTTGTTAGACCTCTGCAATCTGGAATCTGTCTTGCCTGTTGCCCAGCATGGTGTTTTTGAGGGCTTGAAATCTGCCAGAGATTTACACCAACCTTTCCTTCCATTCCCAGGCCTCCCACTGAGCCAAGCCAAGGGGACAGATCGTCCCACCAGTCCTGGTCATATGAGTGATGAAGACCTGAGGGACAGCTCTGGAAAGGTAAGGGTTAAAGACAGGGATGAGCAGACTTCCTTTCCTTATTGCTTGGCCCCAAATGTAACTGATAATCATAATCTTCCATTCCTGAGGGATGGGGATTCTTCTTGGAATGTATTTGCTTTTTAAAGAGCAATTGTGTGGCTTTTACCAGTGGTGAAAAGGTGACTGATTTGGAGATGGTGCTAAGGTCATGCCAGAAGCATTCTTTAGGTGCCAAGGTCATTTTAGAGAAGTTCTGAATGGCTGAGCAAGCTGCAGACTTGTGAATGTGTGCAAATTGCACCCTCAGGAGCAGAGAAGCAAAGATTGTAATGTTAAGCGTAAGCAAGGCTGAAAAATAAAATGAAAGTTTGATTTTTCGTGGTAACCTTTCTGGCTGTATCTCACAGCCCTCTCTTTTTCACTTTTTCTGCTCATTAATATCAATATTTCTGCAAATTGTTTTCACATGAGTCATTTGCTTGAGGTCCTTCAGAGACCTTCAGAGATGAGCTCTTCAGAAGCCAGGAAGTGAGAAACAGCTGCCATTCCTGGCCATGAGTGTTAAGCAAGAGCAATTACCCCTCCTTGCTGCGTATTTATTGCACATTTATATGGTTTTTATTCTGCTGCCATGGCCTGTAGGAACTGAACTGCCTGCTCTCTGGTCATGTGAGCTCTTCACCTGTCTTGGAGCACTCGTATGACTTTGGTGCTTCAAGCAGGGCTTCCTGTCATAGGTTGCAGTTGGGGCAGTGTAAGGTTGTGGCCCTAAAGTCTTCCACCTCCTTGTGTGTAATTGCCAAGATGAGGGTAGAAGACATTCTTCTGAAACACTTGGGATGAATATGGAGCTGCATTAAAGACTGTGGCACTCTATGGACCCTGTGCTCCTGATGAGATGTTGTGTCTGGTTTGGGTGTCTCTGCTTACATCTGTGATGTATTTCCTTTGCAACTAGATCCGTCCTGCATTGTGCAAGTTGGCTCAAAAGAACTTAGAGCGGAAGAAAATGGAGCTGTTGGAGAAAGAGCTCAAGAGAAGGAGACAAACAGAAACATCCTTGCAGCTGCCTCCACAGACAGCTGACCCTGGGGATGCAGAAGAAGCAAGTAAGTGCAGACTACACCTGTGGTCCTTTTTGACCACTTGCTTGCCCTTTGCACGGTGCTGCAGTCAGGCTGTTCTGCTTGCATCTGAGTGGAAGCTTGAAGAGGAGTTCTTTCCCTTCCCCCCAAAATAATACAGAGGCATGAAGAGTCATGCCCAAGGTTTCACAGACTCAGTAACAGAATATCAGCTTCCCACCTTCATCTCCAAAGTCTTTCAGAGTAGAAAATTTTGTCTTGCAAAGTTAACTGGGGCTTCAGACTCTCTCCTGGAGAGCAGCCTGCAGGGAAGGGGAGTCCAGAAGAATGCTTCTCAGCCATGGTGGAACTGAGAAGAAACAAAATTCAACTGCTTCTAATGAAAACACCAGAGATCCTTCTCCTGCCACAGCCTGCTGAGGAGCTGGCACTGTAGAGCTGTGCTGAAGCCCTGAGCCACTGCTTCTGTTGTAGCCCCAGGAGCAAGGAGCGTTCCTGACTGAATCCTGGCTGAGGGGCTCTGACTGCAGTGCTGTGTGTGCTGCCCCCAGGGTGGCAGCAGGGACCTTAGGAGGCAGCACTCAGCCCAAGGGCATCACTCAAGGCTATCTGCACTTTCATTTGGTAACTTCCCCAGCCAGACTCAGAAACAGAAAAACAAAAGCAAAGCAATACTGTGTTTTCCTTCTTTCTTAGGGGAAGCATCACTGCAATTTGGTTTTAAACTAGAAGAGGGTAGATTCAGATTAGATTCTAGGGGGAATGTTTTTATAATGAAGGGGATGAAGCACTGGAAG